TCTTAGGCAGATCGTGAAACTGCTTGAGAGGTAGGAGCAGCATTTTTATCCATCCCTCCTTAGACCTGGAGCATCCCCAGGGACTGCAACCTCTGAGCCTGTGTGGCTGCTTTAGGCCCAGCAGTGGCTGCTTTAGGCCGGGGGCTAAGCAGGCAGCCAAGTGTGTCCACAGGAACAGTAGCTTAGGCTGGCACAGAGAAAGAGGAAGGAGCGTGGAGGCTAATGTGCAGAGAAGGGAGGGAAAGAGGCAGTGGCAGCCAGTGCTGAGATTGAGAAAGGAGGCTGATTTTGGCCCAACATAAGCTGCACAGCCCTGAGCAGAGTTACTGTCTTTGTTCTTTCAGGTAAACCCTCAAAGCTGTCACTACTTCAAAGTGGTTTCCTTGGTTTGTATGTGGGGTTTTTTTTTTTTTTTTCTCCTTCTTTCTTTTCTTCCCACCCCTCCTTGTCTTTGGCTATATTTAACCCATTTGTGCCCCTTATATGGAGCAGGAGAGCAGAGTCACTTACTGTGAAAACATACCTAAATTACCATGGCAGGTCTGGGCTGGCTTCTGAAAAGAGCACTCTTCCCTATGTAAAGGAAGCTTGATTCTGTCACCAACTTTGTGATAATAACAGTAACAACGACTATTGTTTAAGCTAATACCAAGAGCTTTCTGTGAACCAGGTATTCAGCAGAGCATTTCTCTCCCATAGTCTGTTAAGGTACAGCAGGATGAGCTACTGATAATTTCAGTTAGTTGGGGCGTCCCCACGATTCCAGTCCAGGTTTGTGTGAGCGCATCCTCTTAATTTCTGTACTGCTATTTTTTCCCTTCCTAGCTAGGTTCCTTCACCTTAGTGTGTATCCATTTATCTCTTGTAATTGAGGGTAGTTACTTCAGTTATGTTTATATATAGCTACTATAATGTACTAACAATACAAAGTGATATTCATTGTTACTAATGCTGTTGTTTCTGAAAACCAGGCTCTGGATTAGCTGATTTTGGTGCCATCTCTGAGACATTGCAGTGATAGAGAGGAGGACCAACCAAGAAAACACTTCCATTACAGAGTGTAATGGACCAAAAAGCTAGAAGTTATCTTTTGCAAACCTATAGAGCTGGACTAGTGGAAAAGAAAAGGCATGGGAACAGACTGAAAGCCTGCCTCAGGTTAGGGACACTGTTTGACCTGAAATTTAAAGTATTCATGAGGCAGAGCAGATATTGAGCTTGATCTTATTCAGGATCAATAATAAGGAAATCCTGTCCTTTGGAGAGTCTGCTCCTACAGGTGTTTCCAGGCAGTGCTGCTTAATAGGCTCATTGCTGTGCTGTAAGATGGTTTCTGAACTCAACTCAAGATAATAGGGCTATGGATGTCCTGGCTAGGTCTAGGAAGCAGGCATGGAGCACACCATTCCATGGGAGAAGTTGAGGGTCCCTAAAGGCTACCAGACTGCCTGTTACTGTGCTATTAATAATAGGTTTTGTATTTTATGTTCTCTGTGATGTGTCAGCATGTGCCAGGTACCCTTTATCTGCATTTCCTGACTCTAGAGGCAGGTGCCATTTTACAGATTTAGAAATTCAGATTTTCTTTAGAGTCAAATACTTAAGCCAGTGGCAGAGCTGAGTGTCAGTTTCAGGGCTGGAATTGTTTCCTTAGTGATAGACTAAAATATCATAGTACGTTTAGGGCAAGTAGACTAATTCTAGAGCCCAAGGGCATCCTTGCTGTCAGGATCCTGGTAGTAGGACTGACTGGCCTGACACACTGTGGAGGAAGGCAGTGAGTGGATGGAGCATTGAGCATTGTTCATGGACCATGTGTTGTTCTCTTTCCTATGACTGATGGTTTAAGATAGGCTATTTTGGGTCTCTGACCTCAAAGTCTACCTGTGTTTGCATTCCCAAGGTGCTGTGCTAGAGGTGGGCTCCACCATGGTCTCGCTCTGTGGTATAGGTCATATATCTTGAGCCAGACATAACTAGGCTGTTTGTTATGTGAACTTGGGTAATTTACATTGAGCTTCAGTTTCCATACCTTTAAATGAGCTATGATGGTGAGGATTTGTACATTAATGTCTTTAAAGTGCCTGGCACCAGATGAAATACTCAATGATAAATCATACTGTGAGCTAGTAGCCAAAAACTAGTGAGTTCAGGGAGACCTTCAACTTGGTGTAGGCACTGTTTTGGGGTTTGGAGAGAGTACTAGAAGCAGAAGTACTCTCCCAGGGAAATGGGTAGATGCAGAACCCACTGGGCAGAAGTCAGAGTAATCAGGTGGCATACTTACATCAGACCTGAAAATACTTTGCTCTGACGGGAGGCCACCCCTATGCCTCAGCAGTTGGAATGTGGGGGTATTTCAAAGAAAGCAAGGGTAGTAGAAGGATCAGACTTTCTAGCACTTACTGATTGATCATCTGTCCATATTGATTTTTCCCTCTTTCTTTCTTCTACTGGGCATATTAAAAGCTGGTTTTGCTGTGTCAGGTCATCAAAAGATGCTCTTTCGTAAGAGGCTGGTCAGGTAAATGGGATTTTGGCTTCTTTGGGAGCCCCATCTGTTCTTTCCCTGCAAGCCTTGGCACCAGGCTTCCGAGGTAACTCCTGTAAGGAAGCATCTGTCCGTTGGGTGATGGAGTGAGTGGCCTGGGGTAGATGGCTCACATGGAGGCCAGGAAATTGTCTTACCTCACGGGGTACCGAAGCCTCCCTCAGCAGCAGGAGCTGAGCAGCAAACCCTGGTGAGTCAGCATGCCTGGGAATTAAGAGTTGCCAGTCTGTGAGCATGTGGGGTTTGTGTAAGTTTGGGCCTTTTGTTTCTTTTTCAGCACTCCAGTCTTTAGAAACACAAATCTGGAAACCAGACCCTCCACATGGTACAGTCCTCCTTGTTCTGAGATAATTCTGCTTAAACAGTTGCTTCCTTTTTATGATGGTCTTCCAAGAATTAACCCCTTGCCTTTTGAAATTTGAAGAGGTTGTGCTTATGGCTTCCTACTTATACTTAAAAGCATGAGAAGACTTTGAAACAACTTTTTGAGCCTGTGATTTTTACCAAAAGCTCTTTTAAGGATTTCAGTGTGTTTCTGAAGCAAAATTAAACTGCAGATCTTTTGAGGACATGTATGGACATGTCTTTTTGTCATTTATTCTCCTTGAGGCTGGAGAGTGAGACACACCCTGATAGGAGTCTCCCGTAACTACAGGAATGATTCTGGTATCATTTTAAATTTGATGTACTCTCAGAGCTTACCTTTGAAGAGTATTTGTCCTGAAGATAACTCTTGGTTTATATCCAGGCTTTATTTGGAAGAAACTGAGTTTTTAAAGTAAAGCTTAAAGTCTCATATTTTCATTAAAAAGCTACCCTTTACCCCACTGTCTTTAAGAGCTTTACCCAAGACAATTTAAGAGCATTAAACTTTCATCATGAAGACCCATGAAAGCTCCCTAGAACTGGTGAGGGCCCATGTGAGTCTTAACATTGATTTTTGTTTGGTGTTTGTTTTCCCTACAGTGTTTTTGGCTCCTGGTCCATATTTCTATTAATAGTGATTGCCATTATTTTAGCAACTGGCCTTTTGCAAGAACTGCATTGTAAATGGATTTCTAGTAAATTAGTTGAAAAAAATTTTTTTTAGTTTTCTAGTTGAAGTTAAGTCTTGAATAGACAATATAGTCTCAGAGAAATTTAACTCTTTGGCTCAGAAATTTCTAACAATCCATTTAACTTCTTAGTTACAATAAATAATTCATAAATCTCTACGATGAACTTGTTAAGTATTGGTACAGATTATATAGGTAAACCAGCCCCTCACCCACCTTTTTGTAGTACTGGGGATTGAACCCAGGTTTATGCTCAGTGCTTTACCACAGCTCTATAAACCTCCAGCCCTTTTTGTTTTTGACACAGTGTTGCTAAATTGCCCAGGCTGGCCTCAAATTCTTGATCCTTCCATCTCTCTCCCCAGTAGTCATGATTACAGGTTTATGCCACTATACCTGACACACCTCTTTTAAAGTGAAGACAAAACCCTCTAGGAGACTGTGGCTGTATGTCCTATAGGACACTCACCTTTACTGTGAACTTAGTTTACTTTCTGTGCATCGCTTTGCTACTACAGACCTGAAAGGAGAAGAAAAAAAAGACGCTCCTTGATTTGGAAATACAGGTTTGGTGGATGGCTTCTACAAGTGGGTGGAATGGGGCAGAGAAAGGGCATTACAGGCCAGGCCAGGAAGGAATCTAGACGTGTTAGAGATGAATTTCACTTTGCTGTTTGGCTGGTTCTCTGGTTGTAGTCTTGACATATTGCAAATCCTTTGGCCTTTGTAAGATAATATACTTGTCTTGGATAAGACCTTCTGTGACCACTCTAGAAGCTATTCTTTCTATTCATCTTTTTCTGTGTTTATTTCTTTATTTCTAATTGTTCTATTTTGTTTTTGTTTTTTGTGTGTTGAGACAGGGTCTTCCTCTGTTATTTTGACTGGCCTTGAACTCACTGTGTAGTCCAGGCTGGCTTTCACCTTGTGGCAGTCCTCTTGTCTCAGCCTCCAAAGAGCTGGGTTTTCAGACCTATATTACCACACCCATTCCTTGTTTAAAAAAAAAAATATTAGGGACTGGAAGTTGAACCCTCTATTTGTACTTTGTAGCTTAATGCAGGTCCATGTAACTTTCTTCTCTGATGCCAAGTTGGCAAGACAGATTTCTGTCAGGGCTGTATTCTTTGATGCCTCTTTGTAACATATATTACCTTAAGAACTTTAGGAATTTTCCTTATTCGTTCTCCATATGTGCCCGAGTTGCTGCTTTTCATGGCGAACGTACAGAGCTGGCTTATGAGGGAGACAATAAAGCAAGGGCTCAGGGTATCTCTCTTGGCTAACTGTCAGCTCACTGAAGTGGCTTATTCACCACTGTGCAGCTCCTGGAGGTGAACAGTTCATGTTCCACTCCCCTATCCAAAAGTGACAACTTTCTAATTTCCTTTCAGGTTGGCTGGCTCCTCTGGCTGATGGCATGTTGAGGTATATGGGCCAGTGGCAGCGAGGGCATCCAATCCAGAGGGGGCCGCTCTAGAAGCCAGGCCACCACCACCATGGGCCAGTGTGTCACCAAGTGCAAGAATCCCTCATCGACCCTGGGCAGCAAGAATGGAGACCGGGACTCTAGCAGCAAGTCACACAGTAGGCGAGGGGCAGGCCACCGGGAGGAACAGGTGCCACCCTGTGGCAAGCCAGGTGGAGATATTCTTGTCAATGGGACCAAGAATGCTGAGGCTATCACTGAGGCCTGCCAGCTGCCAACGTCCTCGGGAGACGCTGGGAGGGAGTCCAAGTCCAATGCTGAGGAGTCCTCCTTGCAGAGGTTGGAGGAACTGTTCAGGCGCTACAAGGACGAGCGGGAGGATGCAATTTTGGAGGAAGGCATGGAGCGCTTTTGCAATGACTTATGTGTCGACCCCACAGAATTTCGTGTGCTGCTCTTGGCTTGGAAGTTCCAGGCTGCTACCATGTGCAAATTCACCAGGTTAGTCATGAATATTTCATGTCAGCAGGTGAACAGAGTTAGAAAGAGAACACTCCTGGGCACAGGTGCTAGTTAGGCTAGAACTGGCATGGCTTCGTAGGATACGGGTTTGGCTGGTTTTTGTTTTGTTACATTTTATTTTCCAATTTCTCTGAATCTTAAGTGTTCTGAGCCAAGCTATGGTTCTGATCCAGAGAGACAACCTCCCTTCCACCCCCCACTCCACAATTCTCTAAAGGTTGAAAAAGTACATACCTGGTGTTACCGCAGACCTGTGGAATAAGACTCAGGGATAAGGATCGGGCACTTTTGTTTTTATAAGGCTTCCTGTTTTTGACATGTGCTGCATAATTCTTTTCACAGAACAACACCTAAGTTTTAGATCATATTTGAAGTATATTGTAGCATTACCAGGCAGCTTGTGAGTATCTGGGCAGCAAACATCTTTTCCTGCAGTTAAATGAGGAACAGTTCAGAATGAGCCATATTGTGGAACTCTGGTGTTCAGTCCAACTGCTATTTCAGACTTTTTTTCTTTGTGAGTCCTCACTTGATATTTATTGTATAACAATCATATGCAAAGGCAATGAACGCTCCAATACAGTGATTTCTGGGAGAATGCCTCTGTCACTCCATGAAACCAAGAACAACCTGTAGAGAATCAGGCTAGGGAGAGAAAGTGCAACTTATCCCAATGCAAAGTAGAAATCAGTAGGCCACAGAGCAGGAAACTTGAGTTTAGTTTTGGGAAGATGAATGAATAAATGAGTGAACCAATATGAACTATGTACCATGTGCCAGACACAGAAGGACTTAATACTGTATCTATTAACTTTTTAAATTGTTTTTTAAAGAGACTAAAACCTAACAAAACAGAATAAAGCCAACCAAAACAAACAGTGAAAGTGCTACAGAACTTCAAAACAGGATATATCTTGTTATCTTCAAAATAGTTGTCCATACCATCAGATATAATAAAATCAAATAAAACAGAATAACAGTAATCAAAACAGAATATCGAATAAAACAGAACAATTGGGACAAAACAGAACAGTACTGGTTTTCAAAAAGGAAATCCCCCATATTTGCTATATTGCATATATTATCCTCCTATTAGATGCTCCTACTACCAACCATAGGCCTGCAAAGTCAATCAAACAGTACAAGCATTTAGTTGTGTTTGTACCTCAGTTGCTATCAATCAGCCTGTCCTCCAAATCAGCCGGCTGCTTATGGGGTAAAGGAGGGGGTGTTCTTGATTCTCAGCCTGTAAACTGGTTGGCTCACGGGAAGGACAAATTGGCTTGTCTCTCTTCCTGGGCCCCGTGTGATTTGCATGGCTCACAGGAAGGGTGGATTGGCTTCTTCTTGTATTCCTCCCAGACCCAGCATGTCTATTAACTTATTTAATGGTATTCTCATTGTGTGATAGACAAGGACATTGGACTTCTTAGTAGAGGAGTCGGCATTCTAACTAAGCTCAAGAGCCTCAGTTATGCTCTTAATTTCTATAATCTATTGCCTCTCACCAAATAATATAATTTATAATTATTAATTTTGCCTCTTCCTTCCTATTGCAGGAAGGAGTTTTTTGATGGCTGCAAAGCAATAAGTGCAGACAGCATTGATGGGATCTGTGCACGGTTCCCTAGCCTCTTGACTGAAGCCAAACAAGAGGATAAATTCAAGGATCTCTACCGGTTTACATTTCAGTTTGGCCTGGACTCTGAAGAAGGGCAGCGGTCACTGCATCGAGAAATAGCCATTGCCCTGTGGAAACTAGTCTTTACCCAGAACAATCCTCCAGTGTTGGACCAGTGGCTAAACTTCTTAACAGAGAACCCTTCGGGGATCAAGGGCATTTCCCGGGACACTTGGAACATGTTCCTTAACTTCACTCAGGTGATTGGTCCTGACCTCAGCAACTACAGTGAAGATGAGGCCTGGCCAAGTCTCTTCGATACCTTTGTGGAGTGGGAAATGGAACGAAGGAAAAAAGAAGGGGAAGGGAGAGGTGCACTCAGCTCAGGGCCCGAGGGCTTGTGTCCCGAGGAGCAAACTTAGTGGCTCTGTCGCAGGGCAGCAGCAGGGATCTGCCCACTGCCCTGCAGCGAAGCAAGGAGTTGGACCTTTGAGGAAATTACTGAAGATCCGGATATTTTCTACTTCACACCTTTCTCTGCCTTGTATCTGAAAGGGCTCTAAAATGCTGTATCATGTTTTAGGCACTTTCTTCATTTTTTGGTTATTTTGGTTGTTTCTTTTGGGAGGTATCCCTCAAAATATTTGAACCTGACTACATGTGCTTTTTTTTCCCTCTCTCTCTTTTTTTTTTTTTTTTTTCTTTTTGAAGCCTTCAGCTAGAATAAGCCTGCCATTTCTTGCACAAAATCTTTTTTCCTTTTCTTTGCTTTTTGGTGGAGGAGGATGTAGAGCCAGTTGGGGAGAATTGGACTGTTAGATTGACTTAAAGTTACAAAATGATACAGTGCCAGATCTCAGTTTGCATATTGTTTTTCAGGGCAGGTCTGTACTGTGTGTAGTGCTGTTTACATGGTTGAGTTTAGGTTATTGTAATTATTTTTAAAGATTTACACAGATTTGAATAGCAGTGTTAACTGTTAACCACATTGCATTAATTCCCAGGCGATTTGGAGCTCTTGGAGAGCCAAGGCTAGTCAAGAGCATTTACTGTCTGGTGACAACCCCCTTTTAAGCTAATTTATCAAAAACCCTTATTTCTGTCACTTGCTCATTCCTGCTTTGACCTATTGCATTTCATGTTGAGTTTATCCCTCAACATGCTGCACCTGTCAGTCAAGTGAGCAGTTTTGTTTTTTTAGAATACATTGTACTGAGAACCACTTAACATTGAATGCAGAGAAAGCAGTGCTACCTCAGTTTTGCTGGAAGTAGACTTCTTTGATATTTTTCTTTCTTTGATGAAGTTTCTGTATTTTCATGTTTTAAGTGGAAATACTTTCTTTTTTCATTTGCCTTGGAGCCAAAGTTTCTGTTCCTGGTGGTCTGAAAACACTGCCAGCCAACCAGCTGACTTGAAAGAAAACTGTGGTATGGAGCTCTGCTTGAATTTTTTTTTTAATTTCTTTTTCTTTGAGTATCATCAGCTTACTTGTCTGGCAAGTACAGAATCCTGGACTCTGCCGCACAAATATCAAAGTGTATTTAATAGTTATATGTGTGCCCTTTCCCTTCTTGCTGCACCCATGTTGTCACTTAACCCCTAAGAGTTATTTATTATCTCCTTGTTAGTGTCAGGCTCATTTGGGGTAATGTGATGACTGTTTAGGTTTACATGACCCTCCTTGTCCTTTCCCTCCTCCCAGATATGTATATATACATATATAAAATATGTATATATTTTACCTATATAAAATATATATGTATACACACATATATGTATCTATATTCCTTTGATTCTTTGCCTGCTAAAACTGGCCATAAAAGAGGGAGCTGCCTTCAATATATAAAGTATAAGAAGAGTTCCAGGGAACATCATAATGGAGGCTTTCATATCTGAATTTGGACAGTTTTCACTACAAAAGAATATGAGTTTGTCCAGCCCTTTCCTCACAGGAAAGGGGCCCAGTTCCTCAGACTCCTCCATGCACTCGCTCTGCCGGGCCAGCTTTGGCCAAACTGCCACCGGGGCCTGAGGAGCTGATTCTCATCCTGTCTCGTTCCATAGCAAGTCCACTTGTTACTTTTCCATTTTAAGATGTATATAGAGAGATGTATGTATCGATATATATATCTCTATATATACTGTCAAAAAACAACTGGAGGGGTGGGTGGCAGAAGTTTGTACAGTTCAGCTTCCAATACTTTGGAACAGATTAAAAAGGGAATCTTTTAAATAAAATTTGTAACTGTTTATACTCCTGCATGTCAAGTTACTCTATCAGAAGCCTTACAGTTCTGGGCTCCCATCTTTACAAAGATGATTATTTAAGGATATTGTCATAGTTTTTCTAAAACTCGTATTGACATGGGGAACATACCTGGAATTTGATTTTTGTTGTTAATTTTAAACCTGTCAGTTGTTCCGTCTAGCTGGGCAGTTGAATAACTTTAAAATCAACCACAGTAGTCTTGTTTTTTTCTAAGACCCAAGGTCCTTGCCTAAGATTCTCCAGGGCCCCTCAAGTTCTATGGGTTCATGTGTGGGTGGGTCCCCACATAGAGTTCTTAAAAGACACCACCTGTCATCCATCCAGTTTGTAACTCCCAGGTTTTCCCAATTCTGGAATGCGTAGAGGTTGAATGAAGGAAAAGTACACAAAAAGAGGCAACGGAGGACCTCAAAAATTTGAAATAAATTCTCCAGCCTATAAGTTCGTACTCCATGCATCAAATTAGAGTGAGTACATTTTGGTACTGGATTTTAACTGCTCGGCTTCCCCACTCTTAAAAGAGCCATTCAGAAATTATTTTTGGTTATATTTTTTTAAAGGATCCATTTGTTGAGAAGCCAGAAAAAGCAGTCAGACAGGAACTTACTTCCAGGTTTGAGGGCCTGATACTAAGCAGGGATCTCAAACTGCAGTAACTCGGGGCCAGTGCTTGACTCTTTCATAACCACAAATGCAGTTTTTCTGCAGAGATCCAAGGTGAGATGTGTGTAGGGTTTGTATTTATACTTCTGGGAAGTGAAAAGCTCCTGTTCCTCTCAACCTTGAGATGGGTTTACTGCTTAGAAGGTGAACAAGCAGAAATTCTGTGGAGGAGGCCAAATGGTTGCCCCTCTGATAAGCCAGCCCACCTCTCACATCAGCATTTTGCCACTTGGGTGATATGTGGAGAGGGGCAGGATATGAACACCTGCAGCATCAGAGTGCCTCTAACAAGCTGAGTGAGTATGTGTTGCAAGATTACTTAGTTGTGACAAATGGCTTTGTGAAGTGTGATTTTTTGATTTTTTTTTTTAAGCAGTTAATTCGCGAGCTGGTATGAAGTATTACTTCATTGAATTGCGCTCCATCTTTGCCAAATTTGAATGTATCATTCTTAACCTTATCTCTTGTAATGACACTTTGTTATGCTTTAGTTGGTTGCCTCTGTAGCTCTGCCCTCATCCTGCCAAATGTGCCCACTTGTGTATCTTCTAATAAGGGAAGAAAACCCCTAGATAGAGCTGGCTAAAGATTCAAATTTCAACCAGACTTACAGGTCCGGAGAAATACAGTTGAAATGTGTGAAGCAGCGTTTTCAATATTAACATGTTTATGACTGGGCCATACATGCATGACTGTCCCACTGGATGGTTGGTACGACCGATGAGACTGTCACACATGTACCACTAGTGGTTCAAGCTGGCAGGAACATGTTGAACTTCTCAAAGATGAGTGCAAACCAGCCACTTTGTGGAGGAAGAGAGGATTAAGGCACACAGTATTAGTCTGAAACAGTATTGATGGCCCTGGCATCAGAATTTAGTCCTCAGGTCTGAAGGCTGTAGGGTGTTTGAACCCCCATAGTTCACTTGATAGCCTCATACACTCTGTACTAATGCCAAGTTATACTAAACAATGGTGGGAAGTTACTGGGATAAAAATGTCTAAAAGTTTACGAAATATGTATTTGGGACTGTTTGGTTTGCTGTGTTTATTAGGATCTTCAGCGCAGCACAGCCTAAAAGTAGACTGAGCTAGACAGTTAATAAGGACTTGGAGAAAGCTGCTGTTAGGGTTTGTGGTAACTTTGTATTGTTTTCCCCCTTTAGTTGCTTGCTTTGCTGCTTTTCTTGTGTCTGTTGTATTTGTTTAATGACTTGAATATCTTGGTAACTGACAAAGGTCTTCCTTGGTAGACTTGAATTTGAACATCTTGGTAACTGACAGTCTTCCTTGGAGAACTCTGGCAGTGTTTGTTTAAATGGCTGCAAGGACTATTAAAGTTATTGGAATATGTTCATTGGGACTCATGTGAGAACATGACACTGATTCTACTCCTACTCCCAGTCTCTTTTCTGAGTCATGTAGCGGGGAGTCCCACCTTCCCCCCTTTAGAGTTCATTCCCCTGTTAGGCTTAATCATAGCATTTCTGGCCTTGAACTGGGACCATATGTCTGTCAGAATTGGCAAGATTTCCCCCTTTTTAAAAGAAAAAGTAAACTGATGCTTTAGGACATTTGCAGAAGCCAGGAGGGTTGGAATAGCTTTGAGAAAACATCAAGTTCTGCTTCTAATTCAGGTGCCAGGGTATCACATTCTCCCTTTCTTCTTTGAAAGCCAGTCTGCTCTCATGGGTACCTACTTTCACCACATACTATCCTTTCCTGCTACTTTCAAATCTTGGATATTGCCAAAGGAAGCCATTCAGCAGCTGCTGCCCCCTCCCCACCAACACGTACATTTACTCTGGAAGAAGTGTCTTCCCTTTGACCTAGGTTCCCAGCCCTTATTCTGTGGTTAACTGCTTTTACCTGTTGCACTAATGAGTATGAGTCTAGGTTTTAAAGAGGGAATTTGAAGCAATAGGCATATGGGGCTTGGATGGATTGGTCCTGCATATATCCTGCCTTAAGCCGCTGAGGTGATGAGTCCACTGCTCATGTGACCCTCCACCTTTGTGGATCCCTCTTAGTTTGTGATCAGTGTGTATTTCATGAGATTGTACAAACTTGACAAAAGTTAATACTTTGGTTTATATTCGCTGCACTGTTGCACTCTGCAAATGGCCCCTTGAATATTTTTATTAACTTGTTACATTTGTCTTTGATGTCTGCATTTTTCTTCTGATGTCTTTTTTTATTTGGAAGATTACCTGCTGTTGGATTTAATAAATTTGTTTACCTGACTATTGATATTTCTGCAAAAAGAAAAAATGATTTTATTCCGGGACAGGGTTCATCCACTTAGAGCTTCTTCCAACATAACAATACTGAGACACAATTCTTATGCTCTGGAAAATAATCCAGACAGCACAAAATCACCAAGCTCCAAACATGGGTATATTTGACCTCCCATATACCAAACTCAAGTGAGTGGCCTTTGGGGCTCCAGTACTTATAGGCAAACAGCATGTAAGTCCTTACAGGGTCACTATGTAAGTAGTTTCAATAACTGAAAAAATAAATCTGAGCACTGTGTCAGGTACACGGCTAACCTCAGATTTTTAGTTCACAGGAGTTAAGGCAAAGGAGACAACCTGATGTGTCTTTAACTGTTGGTGCCACTGCATGTGACCACTGGCAAGTTGGTGATCTTCTGTTTTACTCATATGTAAAGTGAAGAAATCTTTGCATTGTGTTAAGATTTAAAAGAAAAGTACCCAAGACATGGAAATGCTCAATCACTACAAACTTTAAGGTTTTCCAAAAGGGTATCAGGTAAGTCATGCAGGGAATCCAGAGAATGGGAGGGGAGTAGCATGGTTACAAGTGATATTTCACATCACTACTCTCGTAGAGGTTCAGCTTCCCTCTGTGCCAAAATGTGAGAGCTGAACATGATCCCCATGGCCCCATCTTATATTCTAGAAGGTTCTAACATGGTGAACCATGTAGAATCCTTAGCTTCCTTACACTGTGCTCTGTCTAGCTGCTGTTTACTTCTAGGAAAACTGACCACCTTAGTCATTTCTTTCATGGAAGGCTTGTGGCCTCCCTCAAGAGTCCCAACTTCACACTACTGTCTCCTAAAAATAAATACAATGGTGAGGGTTAGATGTTCCTTTTCTCTTTGGTTGTGTAAGTTTTAGGGGTCATGAATATATTCCTAGCTAAGAAGAAGTTTCTGAGGTTTCCTCAATTTTTTTCTATGAACCAGAATATGTAAGGGCAACTTTTTTCTCTTGAAAAGTAGGTCATAAGAACTACATTCCCATTGGCCCTGGAGCTTGTGCGTTGGGCCCTTCTGAGTTATGGAGTTGTGCCAGGGCCTTACAGATTTGGAGAACCAACAAAGTGGAAGGTAAAGCTTTGGGTGCTTGTATAAAGCCTGAAGTTATTTAAGGTATTACTATAGTGCTTAGAATTTAATTTTCAGTTTTCAATTAGATGAAAAGCAAGTAACTTTCACACGGTTGACAGGTGAGTTTAACTGCATGCATGTGAAATAGACTTTCTGCCAACCAGTACAGTACAGCAAATAGTCGGGCAGGTCCAGAAGAGTTAGCCCTAGTCTTTTCCCTCCTGCCAAATCAAGTTACCAAAGTAGATGCTTAGACTGAACAATCATCTGGAAATCAACCCTGTAGCTCGTTTTAGATTCAGACCAGAAAGGGTAATCTGAGAAGGGTTAGGAAAGCTATCCTAACTTTCTCCTTTCCTTGGACTTCTGAGGATACCATGTCTTGTGAAAGCCGAAAGCTTTGGGTTTTGCATTCTTTTTAGTCTCTGCTTAGGGGTGCTGAGGAGGTCCTAATGGAATATAGTAGTAAAGCAGTCAGCAGAAAAGCATCTTAACTCTTGGTATGTTGTATCCATTTTGATGGGGACTCATGAGCCACTGCTAGTAATACTAAAATAGCTACAAGAGTGGACTGTTGTGAGACAGAAAAACAGGTACCAGCTCTTGTACATACATGGACTTTAAAAAAAAAAGGGAGGCATCCTCTAATGGGTAAATAATGATAGGTAGTTGGGTAAAATTAATATTTGGGAAGAGTCACTATCTGCCAAGGTAAGTTCCAAAAATGAGGGTATAACTGTAAGAAAAAAATCATGGTAAGTACTGTATATGAATTTGCCCGTAGATAAACATTTAGATGGGTCAGGACTCTCTAAACATAAAAGCAAATAGAAGAAATCATAAAAGAATAAGTTTAATTTATGGTGCATGCCTGTAATCCCAGTACTTGAATTAAGGAGGCTGAGGCAGGATTGTGGCAAGTTCAAGGCCAGCATACATTGTAAATGAAGACCCCATCTCAAAACAAACATACAAGCAAACCAGAAATGCTTTTGCAACAGTTAATATTTCTTGATCCATAAGAAGGTCTTAAAATTCATTATTGAAAAGTACTTGGTTTTCAAACCAAAAAATGGGCTAAGAATATGGACAACTCACTGAAGAAAAAAGGAACTGACCAAAAAGCTCCTGGAAAGAAAAAGTTGGATGCAAGTCTAAAGAGCAGTCTATAGGAATCAGATCTACAATGAAAAAAAAAATTTTTAACGTATCAAGTTGCAGAGATTAAATTGATGCTCGCCAACAGCAAAAACCTTTCTGGAAATAAAGGAATGTAAATGTTAATTCTGTTTAATCCAGTAATTTCTTTTATAAACTTTTAGAGTAATAATTGCCAAATATGTATATGCAAGGGTATAGCCGGCAGCAGCATTTGGGAACTTGTGTCAGTAGGCCTGTGTTTTAGGAACATGAGACCTGTTTAAAACTCCGTTTTTGAATAATGGGGTAAATTTGACAGGAATTTATAAAATACAATCATTGACTTGGCAGGATTAGATGTAATTTTAACTTTTCTGGATTTTTCAAATTTCCATTTATTGGTTTAACCTATTTGTATGGAAGAGATTATTACAAAAAAGACAACAAAGGAACATGAACATGGCTGACTGTCCTATTATTGATTGGCAGTGAGACCAGAAAATGGCAGTAACCCGTTCAAAGCCTGAATCGAGTTCTGTAAAAACTCTTTAAGAGTTGCCTTTTCCCCATTAAACCAGACACCACTTCTCCAGCAGCTGCCTTGGCAGCTCTGCATTGGCTGCCTACAAGGGTGTGGGAGGAAAAATGCACAAACGCACTTATGAATGGAATGTGTGTTTTGCAAGAGGCCAAGTTGGCAGCTTTGGCTTCCAAAAGGTGGGAGCATCGACTGAAAGAACAGTGTGTGCAGACTGAGGTCTCAGGCATTCTGGTTCAGGTCTATAGGGTTCTGGAGCTGAAGCCCAAGGGAAACCTGCCCCACCCATTCAGAAAGAGGGTCTTAGCTAGTTTTGGGAGCGAGGGGAGTGCCCTAAATTCTGGGAGCCCTAATCTGCTCCAGAACTTTAGTGATCTTAACATTTTACCTCCTATTTATGGAGCACTTGTTCTGGGCTTTCCCTAATTTAATCTTTATGATAACCTTATGAATCAGATACAAACTTTGCCACATTTAGAGATGAAGCAAAAGGCTCTGACAAGGAAAATAACTCATACATAGCCCACTATTCTGTCAATTTCCACAAAGTAGATCGTTGAGTTCTCCCAAGTTAGTAAAAGTAGGTATTTCTAAATTTTTATAACAGTTGTGAAAATAGAAATTTATACAGCAAATAAGATTAACTAACTTGCCCAAGAATACCCCAGAGCAAGGCTGTCCAGGCCTTCTCATATCCAACATAGGAACTTACTCTGTCTCTTGGGAGAAGAGCCTCAAGAAGTACATACATCAACTTAAACTGCCACAGTTCTGAGACTCAGCTGAGCAGGAAGGAATCCAACAACACTGTCAATGTCAAGTTGTTCTCAGGGCCTTGCAGCTGAAGCTGGCAGAAAACTATACTCCTGACAGTGGGACCCCAAGTAGCAATGTCCTAATCTCAAATCAAGTTCTTCCGTGTTAGATCCATTTAGGATCAGAACTTTGTTACATCTCTAAATAGCCAACCTTGAGAATTAAAGTAGAACCATTTTTTTTTAAATCATAAAAATATATGCAACTTTAAAGTCCAGCTTACACACAGAAAACCACTTGGCAAAACCTATTTTGCCAGTCACATTAACCAGAGATAAGTACTGTTAATATTTTGGGAAACAGGCTTCTAGGTTTAGTTCCGAATAGCTTTGTAAAATTTTTCCTATAGAATCAGACAAATTATACATCTCTTCTGTTGCCTTCCATACTTCATACAACAAATTATATGAAATACATATATATATCATGAATGTATAATTTCATTTATCATAACAGATGCTACGGAATTCAAGTCATACAATAAGTAAACTTGGATTCACTGTTAGGCACTCAGACACACACATTTAAAAATGGCTACCTAGAATTCCACTGTAAGCTCTGATACCTCCACATGTGTTTTTGTGTGAATTATTCTAGAGATTGCAGGGTCTGATTATGGAGCTAGGTTTTTGATACATATACATGACAGACTAGTTTGCCTTTTTGGAGGACAGTTAACCTCTCTACATCTCTGTCAGTTTTGGGAATGTTTACCAGTTAGCTGGTTAAAAGGCAAAGCAGAAGCTGGTTTTACTGAGTTCAGTTTCCAGTTCCCTGGGGTGCAGGTGGTGTGATGGAGGCACCTACTGGTAGAAGGTGGCACTGCAGCCACATTTTGAGGGAGGGAGGAATTCCCAAACACTGGGTAAGGTTTCCAGGGTTGGTAAAAAGCTAAAAAGTCTCACTCTGGTGAACTTCCAGATTTTTCAGTTCAGTCTATCCCTTCTCCCGCTTCAATTTTATGACAGCTGCCAATGAGGAAACAATTTGCCTTACAGAAATTTGCTTTATTCAAACATTTATTATGACTTTGACAAATGCTTATTCGGTGGTTTTCTCCACAAGTCATTCTTCCTGACTTCATCAGATATACCATTTCATGGGAGTGCTCATGAAATGAGCAACTGGGTGTATAAACTTACAAAAAGAAAATAGAACTGGATTCTTAAGATGAAGAATGCTTGAATTTTAGGCACATAATGAAAATTTGCCAATGGCATATAAATGGAACTTTAGCTGGTACACCATGTTTCCACAGAAGCTGATGAAGAGGCCTGGCAGCTGTCCATGAAAGGTAAGAAACATGTGCAAAGTGATGGGCAGACTCACAAACCCATGCCTGTGGCGGTACATCCCTCTTCATCTTTTATGGCCATCAGTCCTAGGCCAGGGAGTGATCCATAAATGCTGCTGCAATAAATGAGGAATGTAAACAGGTTTTTATCCATACGGTTGAATAAATGGTTATAAATTTTTTGGCTATAGGAGGTAAGTATTTGAGCGTGTGTAAATACCACAGAGCAAGAGGCAGGCAGGTTTATGGAAAGCTGTCTGGTGAGAATGGCTCAATGGAAAGAACAGACCAGTCCCAGGGGCCTGATTCGAGTCCTATCCCTGCCACCTAAGAGACAGATATTTACAAGGCACATCTGAACCAATCCTCATTTCTCAATTATGAAACTCTATTATTACTATTTCACAAAGCTTTTCATGAGAATTACAGACAATAACAGTGAACGTACATTGAGTTCTTAATATATATCAAGGACTGTAATCATGTTTTCACGTAAACTTTGAAACATCTTAATGCTGTAAGAATAATTTCCATTTTAAATCTCCATTTTAAATAAACAACTTTTAGAGATATTAAATGATGTGCTTCAGTCATACAACTGTATAGTGATAGAACCAGGATATCAATAATGGAACTGTGTCCTGAGAGTCCTTATAAATTGCTATTAAGTCAGTCTTTTGTTCATTAAACACTTGTAGCACCTACAATGTGCCAATACTCAAAAAATTTTACAAAACAATAACTTATTTAACAATGTGTCGTAAAACACCTAGCACGTTACTTAGAATTTAGGAATCATCCAGTACTTCCTATATCCTTGCACACTTTCATGAATATTCATGCAGTTGTTTAAAGGAATAAGCAGAAATAGAAAAACACACAGTCTCGGTATATACCTAATGTCCGACCTTAAGCTAGCCGTACCAGTCTTTGGGGATGGAAAAGTGGAAATCTAAGGCAAAACAGTGGCTCTGGATTCAGACAGATCATCAAGGATCAAATTCTGACTATGTACTTGCTAGTTGTATGATATTTGCAGTTTAGTAAGGGTTTAATAGATTATAATGACTATCACTACTTCCAATATTAATTCAGCAGCTACCAGAAATGTAAGGATAAAGAGCTGAGTCCAGGGCCCTGGCTGAGGAATCTTGTTGACTTTACGTAGCTTTCCTCCTGAGCAGCTGACTCCCCAAGTGTCCCCTGGCAAAGTGGGAGAAGCTCCAGACAAGACCCAGGGAAGTCAGTAACAGTAAGGTGATAGGGAAATGCATGCTGCTACTAGGTTCAATCAATATGGCTGCAGAAATCCCAGTATGACTTTTTTTTCTCTTCTTTTTCTTGTTTTTTTTTTTTTTTCCACAGTGTGATTTTTAAAGGGAAGGAATAACTTGGTTCTCCTCACTTCAGAGGATGTATTGCTTCTAGAGTCTGATTCTCCTGAGTTGTCAAACTTCTGTCAGAATCTTTGCCTCAGTCAAAACCTAAGCCTTCTTTGCTCCCTGACCCCTGTACTTCTCCCAAGTGTTTAACCTCTGGGGAATATGGATACTATTTCTGCAAGGAGAATGCTTTGGTCCTCGACTGTAATGTAAGCATTCTACCTGAGAACATGAAGATTAATCCCCTATGCCACCCCTTCTTCCACACACACTGGTCCAAACAAGCTACCTAATGGGAAGCTGCCTCTCTATCCCCCTAGGGAATTTGCTATTAAACAAAAAGCTGTATTAGCAACTTATGGTCAGATTTTACTTTTCACCTTTTAATTGTTAGCTTACTTATAAGACTACTCAAAGTGTATTGATCTAAGAGTCCCCTCTAATACAAATATCTAATACTTATTTCTGCTTCTCAGAGAAAGCAATACTTTCAGGCTAACCGGTAGGTATACCATCTCACCAGTGACCTTTAAGCGCAAATTACAAGAATTTTATGGCAGAAAATGAATTTCTGATCCAGACTTCAAAGCCTGTAGTATTCAAACTCTGCTATTTGTAGTGTGCCATCTCCCAGAATGTCAGAATTAAGAGATTTTTTTTTTCTTTTGCTTAGCCCAGTGTTTTTCCAACTGCTCCAAAAGGAAACTATCCTTTCCATTTTTGTTCCAACCTATGTACTCATTCATTCCATCCATTTTAACTTTTTTTTTTTTTTTAGTGGTTTTTTGAGACAGTCTCACCATATAGCCCAAGGCCAGCCTGAATTATACAGTGAGGCTCTGTCTCAAAAAAAAGTAGCGGTGGTGGTGGGGATTACTATTAAAAAGATTTTAAAATTACTCCAAATCCCTCATTTCAGAAGCCCATAATGGGAAAATTTCTTAACTACTTAATAGGTAAAGGAAGCTGGAATTAGACCAAGAGTCCTACTTCAGTAATCCTTAGGCTTAGAATAGGGAAGACATACCTTTAAAGTAAACAGGCACTATGAGGTAAAGGGAAGGGAGACAACAAATTCCTGATACCAAGAGGGACACCCTAATCATGCATAAGCCTGGGCCTCCTCCTCTTTTCAAGTGAGGTTAACCAGATACTTCTTACCCCAGGAAGACTGAAGAATATAAGTCCTCTGGTTTTAAACTGGCATTAACTGGTTCCTTGAGAGATCAGTAAGTGATATAAGAGCATGTAAATATAAAATGGGAATATAATTCCTATCTCTTAGAACTAAGAGATTTAAGAATTAAGAGATGACTTGTATAAGTCCTTATTTATGTGCCTGGACATTAACAAAAGGCTTTTGTTCAACAGCTTAAATCCAAGGGCCAGCATCATGATCAACAGCCTATCACTGTCCTTACCTCTTGGATCCTGGAAGCAGGACGAGGCAGAGGGTACCTGGGTCCATATTGTGGTAGAGCTTTCCAATCTTCTGGCCCCAGTGCCAAGCTGCTATCTTTGGATGGTCCGTCTTCAGAGTCTAGAGTCAAAGGCACAGGTCAACACTTAACAAGACACACTCTGTGCATATGTAGAAGGGTTGCAACATTCTGTCAGGCTCTAAGGCCTTGGGATTCTCAGTAAAGGTTCTGTACAAACGTTCTATTGAAGCTAGATCACACTGCAAGCCTCCAGGGGGACTTAGGACCTCCTCAGAGGAGGATGACTGCTATCTTTTCCTTCAGATGGGTCTTCTAGGGCCCCAAGCTAGGGAAACCACATCATTAATGAAGTGTCTAGTCTCTCCTCTGCACTAAGTTATCTTTGTGATGATGGATAACACCGCTTCCTTCAGATCAGCAGGCCTTGCAGGTGCGTGTGTGAGTGAATAGTGAACCAGCTCCCATCATTGTTTTTCATCTGCTAAACATGGGAGATTAGGACAGGGTTTTCCAAGCTTTAGCTATTTTATCTCTATTCCAGTGTCTGCCTCTAACTTTTTCCTTTAAACTGAGGCAATTTCTTCTGAACCTTGTGTATTTTTCTAGTAGACTATCAGAAAAACAAGTCAATAACTATAAAAGTAAAAATGAACAAAAAAGTCCACCTATGAAAACCAAAATTTATCTTGTGTATGTACAACTTTGGGAAACCTAAATTAGATGAACTAATACATGTCTAGCTCTCCATTTTCCCACTTTAGTACTCCAAAATCCATTGGCAGGTGTCTTGAAGAATAAAAACCAGTTTTTAGCAAGCATGAAGAAGGTAGAAGTATCACAGAGCTGGAAGAAAATAGTGTGTAGAGGGCTACAGGAAGGTAGACAGCGACACAGGACTGTTGACTGGGCATAAATGAAAGATCACGTATCACTGAGCAGAACTCTCCTGACTAATCGCCAGAAACTCAGGTCCAGGGTCCAGAGACGGCAAACCACAGCAGAAACCTTGCTACTCTAATGAGAAAAATCATTCACTCACACACCTGCAAGGCCTGCTGATCTGAAGGAAGAGGTGTTATTCGAAGCCCTGGAGGTCTTCTTGATTCAGATGAGAAGTCCCTGAGCCATTCGTGGAGGTGCCTGGGGGTTAGGGCTCCCCTGCCTTTCAGCTTCCAGTCCTTGCCTGCGAGAATGGTGAGGGCCCTCTGGGCATTGCCGGAAGTTTTGAATTCTGAAAATAAGAATATACATTCATATTCTGTTATTAAGGGCCAAGAAAAGTGATTTCCATACAAGCTAGAACCTGATGAGGGCTCCAGGGGAAGGACCATAATAAGGGGCTCCTGTCTTCATCTACTGTGCACTGTAGGAGAGCTTATTTGATGAACCTTTCCCTTCTCTGACCTCTGTTACCACCATCCCCAAGCTCCTCCTCCAGGGACACACAGGGTGGCAGACTTACTCAGGAAACAGTATTTTTTCTGCTTTCCACTTTCTTTAGGCAGGATCACAGCTTCTAGGCCTCGGAAGTGGTCGCACTGCTGGAACATGTGTTCTTTGAAGGCTTCACTCACTCCAGACAGATAAATAGTATCTCGGTTTTCAGAATCTTGTGCCAGCTCATTCACCAGTATATCACAATCAAGAGTAAGCTCTGTCACAGGCCTCCGCACCTAACCAAGGAAAAGTGATGTCAGTGATAGAAAGGCAACACTTTCAACCTCAGGGCTGTGTACATTAGTAACTTTTGAAGCTTCCTAATCTGTAAAAAAAGCTAATGGTAACTGCCTAAGAGAACTATAATTAGAGAGTTAACTGATTGACATGGAAATTCTGCTTACTTGCCAAAAACCTTTCAAATCAAACCATATGATCCCTCTGAAAGCTGACCACCCAGAATAAACCAGTGGAGGGCCTACATAGTAATACAGAATTTAAAAACTCAATCTAGCCCAGGATGATTGTAACAAAAATTAAAAGTCTTATGTCATTGTTAAGAGAATGCCAGACCTGGATGAAGACATTCCATAACAGAAAATCTCATAGGCCTGGACCTTTCTAGTGTGTTTCCTGTATGTGTTGGGCCATAGTAGATACAGGCTGTGCTAGGCCAGGTCTGACTGAAAGAGGCTGCTTTCAGCTTTCTCTGACCATCTTACCTTGACATAGATACCTTCCACCATAACACCATTCAAGGACTCTATGGCCAGCTGAGCAGCTTCTAGGACTTCATACTGTACACAGAGATGAAGCTGCAGAAAGATCAAAATTTCCTTACTGTTGCTTTCCAGCTGAAGAACCCAAATTACAGTGGCCAGAGCCACCAGAACAGATGTCCTTGTTATGCTGAGCTAAATAAATATTGACCACCAAAGTCAACTTTAAGTACAATCATCAAGATTCAGAAACTGGTTCTCTGACAATAACTAACTTTTATCACTCAAAATCAGGGTTCATTGTTCTGAGTGATGTGAATAAAGCATTAAATTCTTTAATATCCAGTTTGCTTTTCACAGTATTTACTATACTTCACTAAAGTCATTATGTAAGTCACTTCTGTCCTATTAGCCTAATTTTAAATGGGCAACTTTCCTATAAACTTGGTGGGGTTAAGTTCTTCCACTGGCTAGGCCACATCTTCAAAAAGTATGAATTTCAATATAATAACTCAGAATAGCTAAATCTTTGTGATTATCTGAGCCACAGCATCATTATGAAGACAGAAACACATAAGAAAGCGTTATAACACTGTTTTTGGCAATGATATCTTGAAGATGACATCAAAGGCAGGCAACAAAAGACAATATGAACAAACTGGACTTCACCAAAAGTTAAAATGTGTATGTGTCAAAGAGCACTAACAGGGCCAAAAGGCAACCTACAGAATGGGAGGAAATCAGATGTCTGAGAAGGGTTATCTAAAATTTATAGAGAATTCCTATAACTCAATAATATAAAACCCAGGAGCTAGACATGGTGGTGCACACCTGTAATCCCAGCACTTGGGAGGCTGAGGCAGGAGGATTGTTTCAAGTTTGAGACAGCTGAGTTACAAAGTGTGCTCAAAGCCAGCCTGCTGAATTACATAGCAAGACCCTATCTCAAAAAGGCAAAATAATAATATAAAACCCGAATGATCTGATTAAAATTGAGCAAGCATTTGAATAGGTATTTCTCCAAAAGAAGATAAGAAAATGGCCACTGATGCTTTATATTAGGAAAATTCAAATCAAAACTAAAGTGGAATACCACTTCACCTCTACTGGGATGGCATCATAAAAGAAAAGACAAAAAGTACTGGTTGGATGTGAAGAAATTAGAATCCTTGTTATTTGCTGATGGGAATGTAAAATGATGTAGATGTTATGGAAAATAGTATGGTACTTCCTCATAACCTAAAACATTTATTTTTGATGCATCAATTTTACTTCTATGTAGATGCAAAGACTTGAAAACTGGAACACATTTACATCCATATTCAAAGCAGCATGATTCACAACAGGCAAAAGGTAGAAACAACCCAAATGTCCACTAATGGAAGAATGGATAAACAAAATGTTGCATACACATAAAATGGAACAGAATTGTGATCCATGCTAAAACATGGATGAACAATGAAGACTTACACAAAGTGAAGCCAGACACAAAAAGACAAGCCCTATATGATCCCATTTATATGAACTACACACAGCTGTCAAATTCATAATGCCAGAAAGTATCAAGGAGCTGATGAAGAAAGAAGGCAATAGGGAGGTACTGTTTAATGGGGTGTCTCAATTTGGGATAATGAAAAAGCTCTGCAGATGTATGGTAATAATGGTTACACAATAAAATGTATTTAAATGTATTGATAATGGCAAAAAGGGTACATTATATTATATATATTACACACACACACGTGTCAATAGAATGACTTTTTATAAAATGAAGTTACTATGCCTTGCAACTACCTTCTCATCCCCCAGTCCATCTTCTCAGCAATCATCTTTCTAATTTTAGTCAGAGGAAAAACATTAATGAAAGATTTGGGAAAAGTACATTTTTAAATATCTGGGATACTGCACTCAGATCACATTGAAAGTTTTTATGTTTTTGCTTCATTTTAATAGCTATTAAGGTACCAATTTAATAGTTGCCTAATTACAAGTTTTAAAGGTACAAAAATTTATGGTAAAGCCTAACTCCCCTTAGTTACTTTTATCCTCTCTGAAGCTTTATTATTAGTTGTGTATTGTTCTATACATATTTTGTTATATTCATTTTTTGATGATTTTCTCAATGTCTCTATACAAGCTTATAATATTATCACTCTGGATATCAATCCTGGTCTTCACTGACCCAGATGCAATGGTTATATTCAATGTTGACTATTTGGTTCTCTGATGCAAGATAGACACAAAAAGAGAGATAAGTGTGAAGCAATGAGGAATATTTCAAAGGGATTAGTGGCAATGTATCTTATTGTAACATATATTTTCATCATCTCTTGTACATTCTTATGGGTCAAAAACTTCTACTCTCAGAGGTAGAGACAGTGAAATTTACTTCACTAATTATGTGTATGACCCCGAAGTCATCTGAATTTCAAACACTAATCTAGTGGATCAAAATCTGAATTTTCTAGCTTCCTTACCTGATAAGTTTCAAGAACAAAAGACATTGACTCAACTGGGCCAAAGCTCTTCAACAGCCTCTTCAGAGCTCTAAAGTTGCAAGTTTTGCTAACCGGCCCAACATAGACAGTTGACATCTCTCTCCACTTAGTCTTCATCTATAAGAAAAACAATAGAATATAATGAAGAGATGGCATGGAAAGAGAATTGAAGCCCTAAGTTAAAACATGGGATAACTTTACTCAAGAAATTTTTCAACTTACCAAATGTATAAGAATCTGTGTATACTGATACTTGCTGCAACATTATTCGTAACAGAAAAATTTGTAAAGCTTAATACTATCAGTAATAAGTAAACTATACAGGGGATAGCATGTAATCCTTAAAAATAAGAGAAATTATATAGTGATATGAAGAGATGCAGATGATATACTATTGAAATATAAAACACCATGTATGCCTGATTCCTTTTTTTATAAAAATTAAACTGTTCAGCAAAACCCATCTACTTACCTTTTTACTCATCTCCTCAGTGAGGACAGGTGAAAAGGACTCAAAAGAGAACTGGACAATGCTGAAGGGAAAGAGGGGAACTTCCACTCTGGCTTGATCAAAGACCTGGAGAGAACAGCACAGCCGGAATGAGGTAGGGACTTAGTATTTACCTATTTTGGCTGTTGGAATGGAGCCACAATAAAACAAACAATAGTTGTCCTTTTACCCACATTAAAAAGTAATATAAGGGTGAATTCCAGGATTGGAGGAAAATGGTGACCAGCACAGTCACCCAAAAAAGCCACAAAATTATTAAATAAAGAGACTACACACAATCCATATTTTTAGCATTAATAAGAGATATGGGCCACTATATAATCTCCAAATTACCTCTAAGTAAGAAAATAAGTTAAATTCCAACAGATATCCCACCAGTTAGACTTCTATAAGCCTGCAAGTAATGAAAGCAAGAGAGGAGGCTTAAGAAATTCAGTGAAGGAAAAAATGGGGGAGAGCATACAATTATTAAATAATGTACACACAAACCTATTCTCAGAAGAAGTTTGATTAAATGTCTAATAGTGAACATAAATCACAAGTCAAGCAAGCAAGAGGCACAATTAGGAGCCCAAAACACTATAAATTCTCCTTTCCATTTTCCTGACTACAAGAAAGGTATCTGGCAGCCTGAAAGGAACAGTGACTGGGGGTAAGGAGGTTCACTTAAATAGAAATAAAGCAAGGATCCTTTGGAAGCATTGTATTGAAGACTAAAGGAAATTAATGGGCAAAGAGAAAGGAAAAAAAAGACACACACAGAGTAATGACCTTGAATTCCACTTACTGAGAAGAAAAAAGTCACCACAATTGTAAGAAAAACTTCCTTATAGCTAGTCTTGAGACTGCCACCATGTCCCTGATGATTTCATATCCTAGAACCCATACTTTAAAAGTACCAGCACCCTCACTGAAATGGTATCAGTATTAGTAAAACAAACAAGATCAATGAAAAATAATCCAGATCTAACATGGAACAACAAATTGAGATAAAGATATAAAAAGTTACTGTAACCATATTCTGAAATTGAAAGACTACAGGAAAGTTTGAGATACATTAAAGACATGGATATAAGAGAGCCAATTTAACCTGTAGAGATTAAAATTAGTATTTTTGAGGTGAAAGAACACTGGATGAGATTATCAATAGATTAGCTACTACAAAGAGAAACTAGGGAACTTGACATAGCAATAAAAAATACCTAAAAACAAGAAGATAAAAAAAGAAAAAAGAAACCTACTATCAGTGAGTCATAGGACAATTATACACATCATAGTGTACTTATAATGAGAATCCTCAGAGGCAGTCAAAAGCTTTTGTAATTTAATAAAACAATACATTCACCAATCCCAGAAGCTCAACAAGTTATAAGCATTAAGAAAGATTAAAAAGTTACACCAAAATGTATATCAAGTCAAATTACTTTAAAAAAGTGAATGGGTCTGTAGCTCAGGGCTAGAAATTGTATCTAGAATGAATGAGGCCCTAGGGTTAGTCCCCAGTATGTTATCAGAACCAGAACCAAAACCAATACCTGCAAGAGAAAATGTCACATCCCTATGGGTGATAGATTTCCCCTAACAAACCATGCAAGCTAAAAAACAAGATAACATGTTTAAATACTTGAAGAAAAACTTACATACCTATTTCTACCCCCAAAACACCCTCTTTTGGATATATTAAAAACTTAAGAATACTACCCAGATCAAAATCCAGATTTTTACACAGGAATGAAAAACACTAGATATGGCTGGGAATGCAGCTTAGTGGCACAGAGCCTGCCTGGCAAGTGCAAGGTCCTGAGTTCGATTCCTAGTACCAAAAAAAAAAAAACTGTGGAAAAACATTAGACATAACTACACAGTAAACATAACTATTGTTTCTTCTTATTAAAATCTTTCTAGCCAGGTATGGCAGCCCACATTTGTAATCCTAACACTCAGGAAGCTGAGGCAGTAGGATCATCATTTGAGGCCAGCCTGAGCCACATAGTGAGTCCAAGGCCAACCTGAACTACACAGTGAAATCCTATCTCAAAAAAAAAAAAAAAAAAAAAAAAATACAAAGAGACAGAGACAGAGACAGAGAGAGGAAAGAAAAGAAAAAAGGAAGAAAGAAAAAGAGGAAGGAGGCAAGCAAGCAACAAGAATGAAAGAAAAAAGAAAAAGGAAAGAAAAAAAAGGAAGGAAAAGGTAGGCAGACTACAAATAACTATTTAAAGCAAAGGCAACAACAATACGGTATAGGGTTTATAATATATGTAGAAATGAAATGTATGACAGCAGCAGCAGCACTAAAGCTAGGAGGGAGGAAATGCAAGTATATAGTTGTATGGTTCTTATATATGGAGTAGTGTAATTTTTTTTAAAGGCAAATTATGATAAGCTACTACCACTCTACTACAAATTCTAAAAGTACTAAAATCATACACTAATGTATATAGCTAGTAAACTGCCAAAGATAAAATAATATTAAAAAAAGATACCTCACTAACTCCAAAGAATAAAATATTTAGGAAAGAAACTAGAGAACAGAAAATGACAAGTTAATAGACTTAAACATAACAATATTAACAATCATACTAAATGCAAATCTCCATTTAAAGACCAATATTTCAGATAAGAAAAAAAGCAAAATCTAACTGCTGATTATAAGAAATCCACATTTCCTAGCACTCAAGAAAAATGAGGGTTACTGTGAGTTTGAGGCCAATCTGGTCTACAAAGTCAACCTGAGCTGCATAATGCGACCCTGTCTTAAAAAAAAAAAAAAAAAAGAAGTCTACATTAAGTATAAAGATACTTGAGGCATGGTAGCACATGTCTATAATCCCGGCTCTCAGGAAATACCAACATATTAAATGTAAATAAAAAATAAAAAATTTATGACGTTAACAATAAAAAGGAAATGGGAGGTAATAATACTCAACAAAGTAGATATCAGAAAAATGTTTCTACGATAAATAAGGTCTGTTCATAATGATAAATTTTCTGATCAGTTTGTCAGAAGGATATAAACCTACTAAACTTAAGAGCAAAGCTTTGTGATACATAAAGCAAAAATTAATACAACTCCAAGAAGAACTAGACAAACCTACATTTACAGCCAGAGGGTTCACTTCTCAATTAAAAAGGATCCAAGCAATGCACAATATGTTCTTGAACAGAAAAATTACATTAGAAACCAATAATAAAAATGTGTGTGAAAAATTCCTAAATACTGTACTATTTTTGAAAACTAAATTAATATGCTGCTATATGAATGCTGATTCATAGAAAAAGTCAAAAGGAAAACTAAAAAGTATTATGATGAAATGTTTAAGAAAACACAACTTATCAGTATATGTAGAATAAGTAGAACTTAAGAAGTTTTCTTTTTTTGACATATGGTCTCACTATGTAGTGTACGCTGTTACCCTTGAACTCGCTCTGCAACCCAGACTGGTCTTGAACTCAGAACAGTAGGTATGCACCACTATGCCCGGAAAGAGAAATTTATAGTTCTAAATATAGAAGAAAAGAAGAATCTGAAGTCAATGATAGCTCGCACTGCTCCAGAAACATTACTTATAGAACTGTTAAAAAAAGATAAAGAAAACAGTCTTAAGAACTAGAAAAAAGAAAACTATAGACCATCCACAATGCACAAAATGTGGTTGTAATAAAGAATGACGAAAATTCCTACAAACTGATATAATATCACTTCCACGATATACTGATAAGGGGGAAAAGCCAACTGCAAAAGAGCTTATACAGTTTGCTATCTTCAGAGAAATAAAAATGCCTTCATATATATGCTTTACAAAGAAGAAACAAACAATGGATTAAAAAAAACAAAAGTTATTTACTTACACAGGCAGAGGCATAATTAGATGAAAGAGACATAAGGAGCAATGACACTTCTCTTAGTTTTTTTTTTTTTTTGTGAGTTAGCCTTTTGGAAGCAAGTTACTATGCTTTTGGATCATCAAAACAAAGTCTAAGTAATTTACAAGTGAATTACATTTGTTGAATGCCATCAATCATGGGTAGAAGAAGAGGAGGTGAAAATTGCAAAAACAAATACAGAATAAATACAGTATATATGATAAGGATGCATCAATTCTAAAAATAATTTTGATATAGCTTAGGTTTGATTAAGAAAAAAAAATTTCTAAAATGTCGTAAATACAAAGGTCCAGAGGATAAAAGGAGAAAAAAGGAAAATTTATCAGTTCACAAGCTACAAATAAAAAGGATCAAACACTACTACGCATTCCTGAATGTATGCTGAAATTTTTAATACTATCAAATCCACTAGATGCCACTGTATCCTGTTTACAACCCCAACCCATCTAGAAACAATAATTTCTCCTATGGAGTATACTACTATCTCAAAGCTTTCTAGCTTTGAGTAAGCCTTTCTCCTTTATCTAAAGCCAATGAAAGTTCAACTTATGTCTTCCTTACTCAAACTGTCATTACAAAATACCCTGAGACTTTGTAGATCTGGCAGACAATTTTCCAATTGCTTCCTAGCCTTGCTGCTGGTGACTAAGGGAACTTATTCTGGGACCTCTCCTTTTTTTTCTGGCTACCATCTCTTATACCTAATAAGTTCAATTATTTCAGAGATCTCTCAGTCTCAAGAGTTTTGGTTTAATAAGTCTGAGCTAATGAACAAATGCTGATGTTGTTGGAGCCAATATTCCCAAGATGAGAAAAGAGATACAAATAAGGAATTAGAAAAAGAATAGAATCCCATATAGTTTGAAATTAAGAGGCACTAGCACAGGCACATGATTTCTCAAATACATAAACATATATGTATGTGTGTGCATGTATGTCTACTTAAGGAGTCTGAGGCAAAGACATCCAAGTAGCAATATACACAGCAGCAGTCAAACCCTGGTTTCTAACACCAAAATAAGCCTGAATATGTTATACTAAAAAGGAAGAAAATGCTTAGTCCTGGGGACTAAGCCTTCAAGCTATAGCTTTTGAAGCTACTCTACGTAGATAATGCCAGAATTGTATTGAATTAAAGGACACCCAGTTGATGTCTACTGAAGAATTGATTGTTTGCAGGGGGGGAGAAATTCCCACATTTTAGAATCATAGAATTCTTTAGTATTGATCACTGTGGTGTGAGGAAAGAATAAGAGTCATTCATTTTTCTACAATGCAAGATATTGAATGTTCACCTCTAAACTCTATAATGAAGAAGTAGACAATATTTTGACCAAGTGATGAAAATAAATAACATTAATAAATTACAGACATTATGTGCTACTAGATGAGACATCTTGAGAAAGATGTAAGAATATTTTCATTTCCATGAATATGTACTGAAGTAATTAGGGGCTAAGTACCAGGATGTGAGTAGCTTATTCTCAAATGATTAAGAAAATGTCATACAGAAAGCGGCAGAAAAAGCCAGGCGTGATGGCTCATGCTTGTAATCCCAGCACTTGAGAGACTGAGACAGGAGGAAATCTGTGAGTTTGACATCAGCCTGGGCTACATAACCAAGTTCAAGACCAGCCTGCACTACACAGTGAGACCCTGTCTCAAACAACAAAACGAGAAAGAGAAAAAGTAGGGAGAGGGAAAGTAAAATGTAAGCTTCTTGTAAGAAGAGGGAGAGTGAGCAAAAGAATATAACTGTATACATAAAATAAAACAAATAATGCAGCAGACTGTTAATAAAAGGTGATCAAGCCAGGCATGATGGTTCACACTTATAATCCCAGCACTCAGGAGGTTGAGACAGGAGAATCACTGCAAGTTCAGAGTCAGCCTGGGCTACATAAGCAGTCTGGCCAGTTTAGGCCAGTCTAAACTCCATAGTAAGACTGCCTCAAAAAAAATACATAAATAAAATCATATATATATATTTTATATATATAATAAAAGATGATCAAATAGAACTTCTATCATTCAAGGAAGTTTTCTGGAGGGCTGGGGATTTAGCTCAGCGGCATAAACGCCTGCCTTGCAAGCAGGCAATCATGAGTTCGATCCCTGGTACCGATAAAAAAACGAAAAAGACAAAAAAAAAAAAAAAAAAGAAAAGAAAGTTTTCTGTAAGTTCAAAATTATTTCCAAGTAAAATGTTTAAAAAATACAGATCTTCTGAACATGATGATGTAACTTCATGTTTTTGATGTAATTCCAGTTTTACACATATAGCAATGATAGATCAAATATAGAAAGATAAAATCAAAAGGATATTTTTAGCCTCAAAACCAAAATAAACATTTCCATAAACCAGAAACAGAACAGAAATTTAAAGTGGTGATACTGATGAAAAAAGCCTGATAGCTGCATGGGCTGCAAAGGACTACATTCCCCTCTGTTCTGAATGTAACCTACAAAGGTACAGTAGGTCACTCACCTCTTTATTTGAAAGGCACTTAATAGTTTCACAGTTTCCATAAGAAGAAAATTTAGTAGCATCTGTCTCCCAGGCCACAAAAAGGAGCTTCTGACCCATTAAGTGCAAACATTCTAAAACACTGTAAAGTAGTTGAAGACATCAGGGTAAGAATAGTTTTTCACAATCTAGCAGTTATTTCTGTATCTACACTGTCCAATTACTGGCAACATGTAGTTATTTTAATTTAAATTATAGTAAAAATTCAGTTCCTCAATTACACTAGTCACATGTGACTAGCAGTTACAACACTAATTACAACACTAATTAGAACAAACATAAAACATTTTCATCATTGCAAAAAACCAAATTGGATAGTGTTGTTCTAACAAGGAAGGGAAAGACAAACAAGAAATATACCCAAAGCTCTATCAAAAGTTTAGGCAAGATCTGATATATTCATTATGGTCTGGAGTCAAACCCTTTTTGAGCCTGTTTTGGGTTTTGTTTTTTCCAATTTGGGTCATATGTCAAGGCTACACATCAATTCTTCTAACCAAAATAACCAGTCTACCATCTGCTCCAATTTTATTTAGTTTCAAAATACACTGGCCTCTTACTTTTCAAAAAACCACTTTAGACTAGATACTAGATTCAAAAAATTAGAAATTAAATTCTCTATTTGCTTTTGTTTTTGTTAAAACTGGACCTTACCTTGCGTTTGGGTGCTGAACTTCTATTCTGTTTTTTGGCTTTTGGCCTGCTTCTTGCAGTTTTTGGTTACTACCACCCAGTGACTCTAGATTGAGTTCTGCAATCTAGAAGAAAATGAAGTGGTAAAAATCATTGAATTTCTTACAGAACATTTGATACTAAAAGAAATAAAAAACAAAACCCACTCAAGTGGTGTTATCTGATTCTTTAGGTCATGGCTTTGCAATTTTAATAGTCCTGAGCTGGTTTTGGTAGTTACCAGTTGGTTTTTGGCAGCTTATCCAAGAATGGCAATCTGTTTCCAGCTACTGATACAGCTACATGGATATAGGAAAGCACTGAGTAAAAAGGGATGGGAATTTTGGCTCATCATTCCACACTCACGTCACCTAATATGTACTTCTCTGCAAATGTACAATTTTTGGAAATAGTAAAACAATGACTATTATAGTAACGTCAAAAAAGAGATTAGTTTAATTTAAAAAAAAAAAAAAAAGAAAGAAAAGCCTATTTTAATTGATGTTTCTTCCCCAATGAAGTGGGAGTCTACTTCTGAGCTGTGAAGCAGAAAATGAAATACAAAAAGATTTCTTTCTGAACTAGGGATTTGGACCTGAGACTTCACACATATTACTACATTTGCCCTACCACAGTGTGTGAGCTATATTCCCAACTTTTTTTATTTTATTTTGAGTCTTAGTTGCCTAGGCCAGGCTCAAAATTGGTAATCCTCCTGCTTCAGACTTCCAAGTACCTGGACTTACAGGTATACAACACCACACCCAGTTCACAATTTTTTTAAAAAAATAAACTACAGAGTTACAGTAATGTTACAAACATAATACAGAATTCACATATATCATTGAGCCATTTTTATTAATAATAGATTAACAAGGTGTTTCTATAACAATTAATAAACCCATATTGATACATTAACTAAAGCCCATGCATAATACAATTTCCTTACTTTTTATTGAAGTATAATATAGTTTTCAGTGTAAACCAAGTATAATATGTTCTCAAGTATGGACTGAGTACACTTGAGGGTTCCAGAGACCCATTCAGTATGAAGTCTTCCTTTCTCCAAATGCGCAACTCAACAGATTGCATATAAAATGATACAAAAACAACCTGCTTCTATTAAGTGAAACATTAAATTCACAAAATATGTAAAACAATGATATTCTTCCTAATTTTTAAAAAAATGTTATACCATACCCATAAAAATAATGTTAACATGAGTTTTTACTTGATATTTTAAACAAATTAATAGATACTAAAAAATGTTATTCTCCTATAGTGAATGTGAACAGACGTGATCCACATACACAAAAACTCACTGAGGGTAAAGAAGACTCTTCTCATTTTCCCTCCTTCCCTCCCTCCTTCTCTCTTTCTTTCTGTACCAAGGATTGAACTCACAATCTTGCACTTGCCAGGCAGGCAAGTGTTACACCACTGAGCTACATCCCCAGCCTGTAAAACCTGTATCTATTATTTGGCTTTCATTTAAAAAAAAAAAAAAAAAAAACTACAATAAGTCTGGTGTGGAGCACAAACATGCTTTGGAATCTGGCAAACCTGGATTTGAATGAATTGTAGGTCCATCTGATTAGTAATAGGACCCCAGATAAGTTATCTAGCCTTTCAAAATCTTACAATGCTCAGGTATAAAATTGGCTGTTGTGAGGATTAAATAACAATTTCCATGAAAACAATAGGCTCAGTATATGGCAACTATTTTATCTACATGCTCAAATAAGATCTCGGATACTGTCATTGTAATACAATGTCCTTCTACTACAATAACACAAAACAGTATCTGGCTTTAGTTATTATTCTATATAGATAATTTGTTTCATAATAGAGTCCATTTACTTTATAATACGATGGAACTTATGCAGCAGGACAATCTAATTAACAAAATCTTTCCAAAAAGTCTTCTTTAATTCCCCCTTATGTGTTATTCTAACTTATGCCTACTGAACTGTCCCCCAATCACAAAAGAGCAGAAATCTATGTAGAATTTTAACTATTACAATTATTAGAACCAGCTACAAGGCTAAGTGTAGTGCTTAATGTATTCAAGGCACTGTGATAAAAGCTCATATCCCCACCAAAATTCCATAGAACTATATTCCCATTTTACAGTTTTAGAAATAAGTTTTTCAAAAAATTGCCTACATGATACAACTAGACTCCAGGGCCTATATTTGAAAACAGATAAGCTCAACTTCAGAGACCACTCAACCACTGTATTATTCTAGTTAAATGGGTCTCAATTCCAAATGTGAGTTCGGCTTCAATCATATTCTTATTTTAACATAAAATGATGATATGCAATTGTCTGACTGGTTCCATTTTTGTTTTTGTTTTTTTGAGACTATGTAGTCCAGGCTAACCTCAAAATCAAGGCAATCCTCCAACTTCAGCCTCCCAAATGCTGGGATTACACATGTGCCCTATCATACCCTGCTACGGTCCCATAATATTAAAGACAAACACACTGATCAAAGATACTCACCTTCTTTGGGCCATTCTTAAGGAAATACTGAGCCAATTCAAGGGCTGTTCTAGCATCTTCTGTAGCATCATAACCAACCCTGTTTGTACGATGTATGTCCTTCCTGGAAAGTCAAGGTAAAACTGACATACCTAGAGACATTTTTGATGACAGGCTCTGTCAGCCACATCAAATGTCCTTGTGAAATATGAAGTTTCAACACTGTGACAATCAGTGTTCTAGTTAAATAAATATAAAGTTTCAGGATTGCAATAATCATATTCATAACACAACAATCAAGAATCTTTTATTCTGGCTAACTGCCAGACCCCAGAAGATGTGCTGGAGACACAGAATAATTAGGGATGGTTTTGCTCATAGCATATCATCCAGACAAAAGGTTATGCAATAAGAAGTCTGTAGCCTACTTTTCACTCATTTCTTAGCTATAAAAGTATTGAAAGTTACCCTTGGAGAAATTTTTTGTTCATATACAAGTATCTAAATGTACTTAAGTCCCTTTTCCATTTTCATAAAACTTTATAATATTTATGTCTATATGAATAAATCTCTAATTCATATCATTCTAGGAAATCCCATTTTATTCTAAATATTATCTTAGTGAAGGCTCCTTAGTAGTAAACACAGATTTCTTAAACAATGAAGTGTTCAATAACATATCCATAATTTATTGTCAGTCTTCTAGAATATTTCTAGCTTTTTCAATCTTGAGCCATAATGAATATCTTTGTATGTATGAATAGGATACATTTAATATAGGCATGTTACATTTTGAAATTTTGGTTAACTTTTCTATTTTTTCTTATCTAGTTCTATTCATCAAGCTCTTTCTTTATTCCCGTATTTCTTCATTTCACAAGAAATGAAATGAATAATATTTATAAACTAACAAGATCTGAGACCCTGAATTTTGCACTATGTATTAAATTAGATACTACAGGCTAACCTACATGCAATTATCAGGACATTATTATAATATGTAAATAAACCTACCCCAAAATAGCTTTGGCTAAGAATTTTAGCTTAAATCTTCTGCCCTGCTCTCTGACATAAAGCAATGAGGTATCAATAACATATGGATGTATCATCTGAGGAGAAAGACAATATAGAATGAGTAGCATCTTATGCTAAAAGAAAAAAACAAATAGGTTGGGGGTAGAAGAGTTCAAGCCTTTAGACTTGAGATAAATAGAATTGCATTTACACTACAAAAAAAAAGTCCTAAATCAGATACATACTCTCAATGCTCTGAGATCCAAGTCTAGTAAGTGTCCCACTAACACAGCATCAGGAGGAAGCAGTGCTCTTAATTGCCTCTGTACATCTTTGAGTTTGGTTGTCACTGAGTTAAGAATAGTCTTTGTGATTCCTGAAGAGCTTTCAATAAAAAAGAAATGGACAGGCTATAACATTAAAAAAGTTTTTCTTCCTGGAAACTTCATGAAGAAGAAAAAAATACATATATTATAAACCCAAATATCGAGTTCAATCATCCAAGTATTGTAATCCTCTTTCTAGTTTTCCCCACAATCCAAAAAGTTTTATTTGTAATCCCATTGAGACGTTATTGGAATCCTAGCAAGTTAATTCCAGTCTACCACCACCAATCCAACCCACAGCGAGAGTAAAGACACCAAGACATGTTCCAAGTTAAAGGCAGCCAACGGGTCCTAATCCTCATGAGGACATGCGGACAAAGGCCTTGATCCTAGGCCTTTCCCAGCATTTATTATCTTGTGAAAAAAACGGAGTGGTTCAGGGATGAGTGATAGTGAGGATGTTGGGGATTACTGAGTAATTTCAGCTTGCGGGCCAGGTGCAAGAATGACATCTCTATAATTTACATAGATAAAGATATACAGAAGGATCAATTTACATAACCCAATTAAGGTAGCAGTGGAATTGTTTTGGGGGGCTATCACTTGGGTTTCTGGTATGCAAACTCTTGTGCCCTGGGGAGTCATAGCCTCTAATTTTGAGGCTCCTACCCAGTGGACATTCCCGGAGCTGGAGCTATTTGCTCTAACATCTCGCATGCTCAATCCTGTATTGTGGAGAACTTGAGGAAACAGGACTGTCTAACGGCTATAGACTTTGCACATCAGCACTTCAGCTAGCCTTATTTGCAATGCTCAGAGCCAATTGAAAAGAGAAGGAAATACCCTAGCCAGCCTTTTTACATATCAGTATAAGGAAATGAGCCTCCAAGTAATCAAAGTCACAGCAATTGTTTTGGATTCAAAGGGAATCATTGGTGTTGTCTCCCACATGTATATATGCTCAGTATAGAAAAAGATAAAAATACAAAAAGCAGAAGAAATAAAAAATTAGTCATAATCCCATTATCCAGAGATTACTATGTTTTTTCTAGTAAATATCTTTCCTTTTTTTTAATTTTTTTTATTTTTTCTTATTTTTTTTTTTAAATTTTATTTAAGGAGAAAAGAAAAAAAAAAGCAGGGAAAGGGTACAAGTTATACAGATTTACAGAAAAAAAAATGAACAGTAGGAAATCACTAGTTAATGGATTACATATTGTCATCTTAAAAATAGTTGTTCAAGTCACAAAATTAAAGCTTGTAAAGTGGACATTCCAACAATGATACTGCAAACAGTTCTGTTCATTGATCCAATAAAACTCTGTGATATCATTTTCTATCTTATACACTTAAATATACATGCAGTTATATAGTTTGGATCACTGTCTTTTCCTCTCTTTTGTACCATGACTATTACACATTTTGGGTTTCATTGCTCCCACGGTTCTTATTACTTTTTTGGAAGAGAGTAAAACCAAATGTGACATAACAGAACAGAGTCGGTCAAGTCAAAAGGGTGGACATAATAGATAATGTAAAAACATAATACAAGGTGATCAACAATGGTTACCATAATGCCTCCCGCTATCTCTAATAGAATTGCCTATATCGTTAGTTATAATACAATTGAACAAAACAGTAAAGAATAAAACCGACAAAACCAAAACATTGGAGACATTGTAGGTCTTCAAAAGTAGATAAAAGTCAACAAGAATGGGCGTCATAATGAATCTCATTATCTTTACAGCTGATGCCTAAACTTTTGAACCTGATACTATCCAGCAAAACAGAATAGGGGAACATTAGTTAAAAACCAGATGGTGAGAGTAATACAGGGCTTTAAATCAAGGTAATGAAAAGTCAAAGTGGGTTACTATAATATATCCTGCTATTTTTTTTCCTTTAATTAAAAGGATAAAGATAAAAAAGTAAATAATGGAGTGGAGATTGAGATAAAAGAGGGCATAACAACGAAACAGCGCAGATCAAAACATAACCATTTAAGCAGAATAGTGTTTCACCACCAGATAATCCTAACCTAAAAGTAGTTACCATATTGTCTCTTTCTTTGAAATCCTTGAGTACAACTTAGTATACTGTAGCATTAAGTATATCAAAACAATGTAAAACCATTCAAGAGAATGACAGCATTACAGAGTATTTAGAATCGACTAACAGAAAGTGAACAATGGTTTCTGTATAATCTCCTTGTCTTTAAAAGGTGTTTGCTTATACTATCATACATAATAAAATCCAATAAGATACAGCCTATTTAGACCATTGGAGACAGAAGGACAAAAGCTAGATGAGACTTCAAAACAAGATGATACTAAATCAGTATTACCTATTAAGATGTCATTTTCTCCAAAATAGCTGTTCCTATCATCCAATCTTCTCTGTCTCATTTCTGTTGAGCTCTTTTTCTGTCAGTAGCTGTCAGTTTGTCTTCTTCATTTTGTTCTCTGCTCCATTCGTTGTGGCCTCTCTGCCATTATTTCTGGATTCTTTGTATTTTTCTTTTTTTAGAATATCCTGCAATACTCTCTGTAGAGTTGAATTGGTGGTTGCAAATTCCCCCAGTTCCTCTTTATCCTGGAAGCACCTTGTTTTTCCATCAATTTCCAGGGACAGTTGTGCAGGATATCTCAATCTTGGCTGGAGATTATTATCTTTCAAAGCTTGAATTATTTCCCCCCACGCTCTTCGTGATTTGATGGTTTGTGCAGAGAAATCTGCTGTAATTCTGATGGGTGTTCCCTTGTAAGTGGTCTGTTTCTTGTCTCTTACAGCTTTTAATATTCTGTTCTTGTATTGAATTTCTGGAATTTTTATTATTATATGCCTGGGTGTTGCTCTGTTTGGGTTGTAGGTAGCTGGGGTCCTGTATGCCTCATACATCTGAGTCTCTTTACCTTTTGCTAAATTAGGAAAATTCTCCTGGATTATTTCTGTGAGTAGCTTTTGTAGTTCACTTGTTTGTGTCCCTACTTCTTCTTTTATGTTCTTAATCCTTAAGTTATGGATCCTCTTATCATCTTCTTGTCTTTGTATTATTGCTGTTTGTTTCTTTGTTATTTTTAAGAAGTTTTTCATTTCATTCTCCCATATTACAAGTCTGCCCTCCAGTTCAGATAGTCTGTCCTTAGTTTCTTTCAAGCTGTTATGCCAGTCTTCTATAGACTTCTTAGTATCTTGGTAGTCCCTTTGAACCTGCTTCACGTATTCTATGCTTTCTCTGTTTTCTCCATCAAACAATTCTCCCCTTTTTTTCTGTTCTTCCATTCCACCACCTGTTTTTTCTTGGGTGGTACTTAGCATTTCTCTAATATTCTGCATACTTCTAGTTTCAGGTCGTTGATAACTTCATTCCTGAATTGGTCTATGAGGCTCTCTATATGGTGCCTTATGTGTATTGGTGCGATGTCTGCTATTGCCTGTTTCTCAGAATTGGGGGCCGAGGAGCCTTTCTTGTTGCTGCTTCTTCCCATGCTGCCTCTTCTTCTCTGTTCCTTGTATATGCAAGCTTATATAAGAGGCCCAGCTTCTCTCCCAGTCAGCCACAGCCTGATCAAATTGCACCAGTTAGGTGTTCCCGCTCACCGCTGCACACCAGGGAGTTATGGACCAGGCAGCCTACGCGTCTCCCCTCCCGGCCACCGTCAGGCTCTGGGATCTGGGTTGGGACAGCCTACCAGGTCCGCCGGCAGCGTCACGCAGGCCAGGCACTTTTCACCAATCCCGCCCGAGAGGGGGATGTGTGGCTGGAGTCGCCACCGCGCCCTGCTCCCGCAGGACTGCTCGGGCCCAGAACGTCCTCTGCTGGAGTCAAACTTTGGTAGAGTGTCAGTTTCTCTCACTCACCTCACCACAAGTCAGTGCACGCCTCCCTGCCATTCGCAGATTGCCGTTCTCAGAGCTTCTGGGCGTCTCTCTCCTTGCCGAGCCACTGTAGAGGCAGCCAGCCGCCATGCGGCGGGAAACCCAAATCACGGCTTACAATGGCGCGGGGTCCAGCCTCCACATCGAGGCTTTTCTGTTCATGTTTTAGCACCAGGACTGCATTCCAAGTTGGTTTCTCTCAGCCCAGTTCGTTCCTGAGTCAGCAGAGCATATCTCCACCTGCTTATGTCTCCTTAGTCCGCACCATTCCTGGCTTCTGAGCCGAGTATTTCAGACTGCCTCCGGTAGTTGCTGTTATCTGTCCGCCATGTTCTCCCGGAAGTCCTCTCCTTTTTTTTTTGAAACAGGGTTTGGTTAAATTGTCTAGGCTGGAGTTCAACTTGTGATACACCTGCCTCAACACCTTTCTACCTTGTCAATTAGTTGGGATTGCAGGTGTGGGCTACTATATCCCACCTTTTTATATTAACTCAGTTTTATAATAACACACATACTGCTTTACTACATGATTTTGTCTCTTTCAATATGTTATAAGTAAACTTGTAAGTAGCTACAGAATATTCTATTATATGGATATAACCTTTTAATTCTCTGCTTTCAGATATTTATACTCCCATATTTTGTAACAGCATTACAAACATGCTCATTCATATTTCTCTACCACATACAACTACTGCTTAAGTATACTAAGTATTAAGTCTGCTAATATAACAGTCTGTATTGAAAGGGTTATTGACCCAGACAGGGCACTGTAGCCAGAAAAAGCTGGAATTAGGGAGCTCCTGTCTCCCCCCACTCCTAGAGATTTACCTGTAACCCTATATCTCCCCCACCCTTCAGAATCTGCCCCCGGCACCAAACGTGTGCCAATGAAATTACCTGTGCATCTCTAATGGCCTTAGGGCACTGCCCTAAGCTTAGGCTACTTATATTCCCCCACTCCATGTGTCCGCGTGAGAGAGATCGCCAGACTTCAGTGGCCGGCGTGCCAGTCCTCTCTCCATGTTCTCAGAATAAAGGCCTCTTTTGTTTTATACTTCTCATCTTTTAGAAATATTTTTCATCTTTTGGAAATAATCCTATCATGTATCACTGTCATGATCTCTCTGTATAAGCATGAATCTATAGGTACAACTTCAATAGATTGAAATAGTAATGTTTCAATCATGTTTTCTTTGCACATCATTGTATGTACATTTTAAAAATTACAGGATAATCTTTGTAAAAACAGACAAAAATTTAGAGCTTCTGATTTCTATTACAGAAAAAATTAGTTTTGTTTTAGTTTTTGAGGTCAATGCAGAGTAAGCACTAAGACAGATCATTTAGCTGTCAAGCAACAACCTGCAGATTTTTCGATGAGGTCTTACCAGAAAGCAAAACTTCCTTTCAGCTGTTTGGCAGTTGTTAGATAATGAATAGAAATGGGGAATTCTAGGACAAGGCAGATAATATTCTGCTGACTTAGTATCACAAGAAGATTAGCAAATACAAAAGGGCAAAAACTATACACCAACATTGTGCAATTTCAGTATTCAGATATAATAAGGTGTTAACCCCCACCTTTTCTTTCATACACACACACACACACACACACACACACACACACACACACACACATATGTAAGGCTTATGTAAACAGAACCTATGGGCTTTTCCTGTTAAATCTTATTCCATGATACTTCTGATCGGTCAAAGAGCTGCAGGTGATGTGAAAAATACCTGGTGAGGTAGTCCACAATCTTGTCATCTGGTTTGACCAATTCATCCATAATACAGCAGCCCCCTTCAGCTACCAGTGAGATGCGTGTTATTTCTTTCCCCTTGGATGTGAGGCACTGAAAGACCAGGATACAGTCAGTCTGCTGAACTATGAAAGCTGCTGCTTCCTCTGATTATGCACATTAAGTCATCTGCCACCTACTCTCAACTACCACACTCACTGGAGCAATAGCAAAGATGTTTGCTTCCTATAGGATCTAGTATGAAAGAAATGTTCTTGGTCATTGACTGTTACATTTAAAGAAAGTGACACAGATCAACTTCTATAGGAAATGATATTCTCAAGGAAGATGAATGGAAAAAGTATCAATCATAATTGTACCATACATGGAGTGTGCACTTTATACTAAGTACCAGTAATAGGTAACTTTAACTAAGCATACTCTAAGAGGTAGCCTTTACTATTAACTCCACCGTCACAGAAAGAGAAGCTGAAGGTAAAGAGGGATGGGGACTTATCTATTAACCACACTCCAATACAGACTTTAATTTTAGTTTAGTTTAGTTTTTACCCAATCTATTAAGAATTAAGAGCTAGTATGGTGGTTCACGCCTGTAATCTCAACACTCAGGAGGCTAAGGCAGGAGGATCACTGCAAATTTGAGGCTAGCCTGGGCTACATAGTAAGTACAGACCAGCCTGAATTTCATAGTGAGACCCTGTCTCAAAAAAAAAAAAAAAATTAAGGAACTAATTGTTGAGTGCTAAGAGAGGATACATTTTCTTTAAAAGACTTGCTAAACTTGGGCAAAGTAAAACAAAGAGTGGTAGAGCAGGGAAATCCTGCTTTTGATTATCAATGTATAAAATTAATGCAAACCAATGGTAATTAAGGCAGTCCTCACGGCAACAGTAACTACATATTTGTTCAAAAGATAGGCGTAAACTTCTAATATTATGTGAAGCTTTGATTAAACATTGCAACTAGTTAGAAAATTTATAGTTATTCGTCATCCAGAATACAAATACAAATTTTTAAAAATGTGTGTAAAAAAGCCTACTTTCAGTTACTTAAACTGAATGTACTAATTCAGTAGATTCAAGAAATTATCTTCTACTAAATCCCCGTTTGCAACATTACAGCTAAAATATCAAGAGTGTCACTTACCATTTCACAGTCAAGTCCAAAGAGAGGACTCCTGTCTGTTATAGAACCATTACATTTGGTAGGTACAAAGTTTTCATAGCCAGGAGAACCTAGGAGGAAAAAGGAATAAAATATTTACCTTCAGAACTACAGAGGGTAAACTTCACTTTTAGACTCTTCCAGGGAAACTACAATACCATTTGTTAGTAACCTTATGTATGTTAGTTATTTCAAAAATAAGAGCAAAAAACAAACAAAAAACCCAGAGGCAATCTCTGTTCTTAAATTTTTCACCATCTATTTATGTTTATATTCTGAGAAGCCAAGTGTGGTGGTGCATACTTGTAATCCCAGCACCATAGGAAGCTAAAGCAGGAGGACTGCCCTAAGGTCAAGACTAGGCTGGGCTATAAGGTGAGTTTAGGGCTAATCTGAACTTCACAGTGATAACCTGTCTCAAAAAAAAATTTTTTTAAAGGCCAATGAGACCTTCCTGTTATAAAGTATTGTGGGCCCTGGACTTCCTGACAGTTCCCAAGTAACAACTTTTCCTCCTTATCAAAAAAGAAATTTCAACAAGGTTGTGTCTAAATCCAAAGTCAATGGATTCTATCTAAGCACCAAAAGAGAATGAATAAAGCATAAAAATGACTATAACTGCTATTTTCCTTTCCTTTAATAAAGCAAGAGGAAGTAAGGAAGAGATTTCACCATAGTAAACATCTGAAAGAACTGCAGAGCAGGCAAAAGTGGGAATAACATTCACTATGTGCACCCCTCTACTTAATTCTACCCTTGATTTCTCTGAAATTTCTCTATTCAGAAATTTACATACATTTTTTGGAATCATAAACTAAAAATTCCTTATCACAGCGCAACTACACACTTAGGGTACTCCTTCCATTGCATACTCAAAACCAGTGATGGTGAACCTTTCAGAGCATTCAATGATAACAAACAGCCAATGTAGCACATGGGCTGTAGGTTTGCCACCACTTCCTTAAGTCAATAAACAGGTGTATTTAGTTCAACAACCCAAACCATTTGAATCACTGAAGACTTACCTTTGGATAAAAGCTGAGGCAATAAAGCTATTATTTGAAAGAAACAACGGGGAATATGAAAACTTTTGGCCAATTGCTATCACCTGGTAGCTTAGAATTTCAAACTTACTGCAATTAAAAGAATCAAACCATGGTCCAATTCAGAAAAGAAAGGCAAAATGTGGGAAATAATATATTTGCTCACACTCTCTGTACTATTAGTGGCATTAAAAACAAAATTACTAACTTTTGAAAGAATTTATGTGTCAGATACATTCTAAGCACCTTTTTTCCCCAGTGATGGAGACTGAATCCAGGGCCTCCCACTGCAGCATATCCACAGCCCTCTTTTGTAATTTTATTTTGAGAAAGGGTCTTACTAAATCCCTAAAATGTCATGGCTGGGCTTAAATTTGTGAGCCTCAACCTCTTGGAATACTGAGATTATAGCCATGTGTCATGACCATGTCCAGGTACTAAGTGAAAGGGTTTTGGCCCAGGCCAGACACTGTAGCCCGTAAAGCCAAGGAGCTCCTATCTCCCCCACCCTTAGGAATCTACCTCTGGCACCAAACAAAGACCAATGGGCTACCTGTGCATCCCTAATGCCCCCTTAGGTTCCACCCCAAACCGAGGCTACTTATGTGCCTCACTCCACGGTTCCACGGAGAGATCGCCGACCCCAGGGTGGAGATGACACACCCCGGGGGTCGGGGGTGTCTCTCCCTGCATTCTCAAAATAAAGGTCATTTATATTTCATACTTCTTATCTTTTCAGCCACCGCCGGTCCCCCACAGTTCTATCATGGTTCCCTGACCAGGAATGGCAGATGAGAGACTCCTGGGGCTGGTTCCCAGTTTTGAGTCCCCTGCTGTTCAGGACCAGGCCCAGACTGTATCCTGTATTAATTCCTCACTTCTACACTTGGGAGCTGTAAGCTTGTCACTGCTGGTTTACAGACAACACTGACCCAATTTACCACAGGTGAACAACTCCCAGAGATTGCCACTGGGCCAGGCCCCAGGCGAGTTTTCTCCCCCTTTCCGTGGGTTCCCGTGATGCTCTCAAGTCCTCACCTCAAGGCAGGGTCTTTCTGGGCAACCTATGTCCACACTCAAAAATCTCTCACATACTTTGGGTTCAGATAGCCCAAGGCAGAGTTTTCTGGACCGCCCACACTGAGAGGCCCTCAAGTCCTTCAGAGCTTTTTTTAAGTTCTCACGGCAGAGCTGCTACTCAACCCACGTAAAGTCCACTCCTAATATTGGCGACGGCCAATTATTAGGAGTTTTGGAGTTATATTAACCGATTGGTCTGCAGTAAGGCACAATACATAAATTCATTGCTGATCTGACAATGTATTCGTGATCTCAGATATTAAGTTCAGATTGTTTCTGCTGCCTTTTGTGTGTGTGTGTTACAGCCATGACAAACGTTTTCTTTTAGATCTAGATAATTATAAATTCCTTTTTGCTGGGAACCACTAGCTCTGTTCCAAGACAAGGGTTTTGTTAAAAGTTTTAATGTTGTCTGAAAAACAAAAAGAAAGGTAACTGACTGGTACTTTGAGGGTACATAGTAAGTTGTAATGTAAAAGAAGATAGGAAGTTGTAGAAAAGCTTGAGAAAAAAGAAGATAGGAAAGAAAGCTCAACTTGAGGGTATAATGTGAAAGAAGACTTGAGGGTATATAGAAAGTTATAGAAGGCTTGAGAAGATGTAAATTTTACTTGAGGGTATATAGAAAGTTATAGAAGACTTGAGAGGATATAAATTATAGAAGGCTCAAGAGGGTATGTAGAAAGCTTGAGAGGATGTAAATTTTGTCTTGGTTCATAGTACTGCAAATAACAGGTTTAAAAAGAAGTAAATGTGTTCAAAATTTGACAGTGTTAGATCAGTTCTGATAGAGTTATTCATAGGGTTGGTAAACCTTTACTGCAAAATGTTTCCATTAAAATGAGATTATACTCCAAAAGAGAAAAGGCAGACTAAAGCCTTTTTTGTCAAGTATGTAATTTCAATAAAATGATGGCCTGCCACATGGCACCCTAAAAAAAAAAGCGGTATGCCATCCAGATAAAGCCTGCTCTCTGATCTAAAATGCCAATATTAAACTCCTGCATACTTAATTCTACTGTACTCCAAATCCCAAACAGAAAGGCAAAACTTGACCTTCAAACTCCACAGAGACCTTAAAATGGCTTTTCATATTTTCAACAAGAGATAACTATAACACTTATGACACTTGGAATTCTGAGACAGGCAAACGTACACAAGGTGGAACTGCCTGCCACACTGCCCCCCCCCACACCACACTCAAATGCAGAAGACATTGGGCAAGAGACTGCCCCATCCTAGCGTTCTTTAAGACCTTACACCACGGCTGCTGGACTGTCCTAGCCACCAGAGAGTGGGTAAGCCATCCTAACTTCTAGCCCTCACAGGAAATGTCCACACTGCCAGATTTGTCACCGACAGGTAAAATTGCTGCTGAAGACTGACGGGGCTCAGGGCCAACAGCCCCCTTTGTGGGTGTCCATCTCAGAGTCTAAGTCGCGCTAAAACTCTCAGGTAAGACATTCTCTATATTTGTGGACATAGAGGCCATATATACAGAGTTCTTTCTGAGTTTTCAGGCTGCTATATTAAGTCCTCAATCTCTATGATGGGGTATTGATGGTCAACCTATGCCATTTATAAACAGGGCCTATTTCATGCAGGTCCCAGTCCTAAATCTTAAAATGCCTTTTATACAGGCTGACTTAGACACACTGAGGCCTCAACAGCTTCTACCTGTTATCGCTAGTAAACCTCTCCTCAGTGATGTAAGATCACCCCCTTCCTTTTTTATTCACCAATTTCTCAGGTAACCCTGGTCAAGACTGACAGACACATTTTGTCTTCTCACTTTGTTTATACTTTTTCAGGATACATAAAAGCCTTTCCCACAACCAGGTAAACTGCTGATATACTTGCTAAAGTTCTGTTGCAGCAAATCATTCCAAGGACTACAGCCAGGTTACAGTGACCCATACCTGATATACTTAGTAACCTCAAAAGCAATCAAATTTGCTAGACTGCCATGCTGGTTTCACATCACTCAGGCCCTAAATCTAACCATCCTTTTCCTACTCATCTCTGCCTTGCCAAGGCCTCACAGCCACGACTTTCAGGCTGTCATGTTTTGTTATTCAATTTTGTTTCTAATTTCTTATTCCTTTTTACAGCAGGACTCTAACAGTATTTCCTAAAGACTCCAACGTCATGCATACCAGAGACAAGCCTTATCTACCTACCCTTTTAACTTTTACCCTTTCAGATGGGAGAGTAAGCACTACTCATGACTTCATTCCTCCTAAAGCCACGTTTAATTTTCAGAATTCTGCCTTACCATGGAAATGATCCTACCTCAACGTTGTCCTGATATAATAACATGTCTAAATCAAAAGGCACCTTTCCCTCTACCTCACCTGGTTCCTAAAAATGACAGCGCCGTGTCTCCTTATAACATCTTGTCTCTTTGTTTTTACAGTCTAACATACATGCATTCACCAGTAAAGTTGTCCTGGCTAAAACACTTGGCACCAGCTTCTACCTGGGCATCAACCATCATCCCGTTGACTCCCCTAGACCCCAGTACAGCACCTTCTGCCAGCAGGAAGCAGTTAAAGAGAAAAATCTTTGCCCCTTTTCATAATAATAATCATAAGATGGGATATGAAAGGGTTTTGGCCCAAGCTGGACATTGTAGCCAGTAAAGCCAAGGAGCTCCTATCTCCCCCACCCTTAGGAATCTACCTCTGGCACCAAACAAAGACCAATGGGCTACCTGTGCATCCCTAATGCCCCCTTAGGTTCCATCCCAAACCGAGGCTACTTATGTGCCTCACTCCACGTGTTCCACGGAGAGATCACCGACCCTGGGGTGGAGATGCCACGCCCCAGGGGGTCAGGGGTGTCTTTCCCCGCATTCTCAAAATAAAGGGTTTTTTTTTTTTTTTTTTTGTCTTTTTCCTTTTTCCTTTTTATCGGTACCGGGGATTGAACTCACAACTGCCTGCTTG